TTGGACCGTGAGTATGTACGGAGTAGATCGATCACACTTCTCGGCTTCTGGACCATCCAAAGTGGTACGTTATACAAATGATGGTGGTGCATCAATCTAGACAGACGCACGACGAGCCGTTCCATCCGGAACACAAGAATCGAGGCGTTGACGATTGTGGAGCTAATAACAACTTAGATATGAGGGGATTTGACTAAAACAACATCAGCACCTCTAAACAAGATCAAGGTCAGCCCTGGAGATTGTCAAAGCCCTGAAGGGGATAATGGCATAACCGAGTGGGCCTGAGCTAACCCGATTTGTATAATGTACACCACCTGGGTAGCGCTTACAATGATTTTAGGGCATTTTCCACGTGGACACATTATTGAATTTCAACAACCGGTAGAACGGCATACGGATCGGATAAAGTTGTACAAAGTAAGGGGTAAACCTACCACACTTTCTATTTTTTAACGGAAAAGCTAAACTTTAGAAGCCAGGAAGTCTTCGGGTATAACCGATGTCCCCTTTTTTTGTTTTCGGCTGATCCCGAAAAAAAAGAAGCTGTAGTTCAACCGAGACATCGGTAATAGCCGCAATACCAAGGGAGTATGTGTAGCGAACCCGAATTTTAGGACCACTTCTCACTCTAGTAATAATTGCGCGATATTTATTAAAAATCAAAGTTAGAGAGTCTTTTCTAGACTAGAGCGGGTTATCTCGTTCGATCAAGCGAATCAAAAACAATGGCACTTCCCACCAATTAGAGCAGATGCTTCTGAATCTGAGGTGAGATTCGCCTTCCATGGAATAATCCATACCTACATGTATGATGTACATACTCCGTACATACTGATTTTTTTTTAAATTATTATAACCTTGGAAGTATGTGCAGAACAAGGCAACTAAAATGCACGACGCCATCAGCCTTATCCGCAACTTCCTCCTTCAATACTTAACCTTCCTGAATACCGTGAGATCCACCACGGACCACGGGAGGTTAAAAGGGAGGTTCACTAACCCGGACGAAAGAGACCCGGAAGGACCACCTTTTGACCATGACCTAGAATCAAAGAGCCTCTAAAGCTTGAGGTGGGCTGGTGGGGAAAAGAAAAAGTGCGCATTTACGCTTGCATGTACGGAGTACGGAGTGCGGAATAAGCTGTTCATATTCCGAGTAATTCCTTTTTCTTTTTCTTTTTCTTTTTTCTTTTTCTTTTCTTTTTCTTTTTTTTTTTTTCCTTCCCCCTATTTTCCCTCTTCTTCCCGCAGTTTCAAGGGGTGTCTAAACAACGTGGGTAAACCCCGGGGTGCGCCCATGTCGATCTTGGAATCTGAGACTCCCGTAAATGCTTCAAGGGTCATGAACATGGGGTCACGTTGCCGATGCTGATTTAATTAAATATCAATTCGAAATATACCATGGGAAATTGATACTCCATATCCGAAAATTAGTTTTGGGTGCTATGATGTCGATCAGGAACAAATTAGGAAGGGAGCGTAATGTACGGAATACTTTGTACCTTCTATAACAAGAACCGTCGTCTATGCCACTATCTTGAATGACGTGCAAAAATAATCTGCTCTATTTCCTAGGTTGGTAGCATAGATGATATATCCGAGATAAAGTTGATGAAACTTCGATTTTGCTATTGTCTTAAATAGGACATGTGATGGATGAGTAGAATATCCATGTACATACATACCGTCATCAAATAAAATATTAATTAATATTAATTATTTAATATCAAAAGAAGACTAGCGTGCACGGCCTGGCATGTACATATGCATTCATGGATGTCCACCCCGTGTGGTAAGCATCTAAAAAAAGAACCAACATTAAACCAAGCTCTCTGACTCGCTAGTTTTATACTGCTGATCATGGTCACTTGCGCTTTGTATGCCCTTCTTCGTATTCTTCATGGTGTTGCTATTGTAGGAACAAGGCTTATTCGTCTTGCTGTGTACCACACCAGAATCGGTATGCATATTCAGGTAATCTTCATCTTAATAAGGAAAGAAGGCATTAATAGACTGTTTATAGATTCTCAATGGAGAGTAGACACTACCAATGCACCATCATCCCACCTGGGCATACTCAATATTATCCACATCCCCCAAATTCGGCTATCAGCATCATAAATGGCAATTTGCCGACGATCCCAACAGCGCTATAAAACCAAAAGCACTGTCTCAAAAGAGAAAAAAGAGACGAGTTGGTTACACAACTACCCCTTCATCCGTAAGATTTGAAGCAATTTCCAAGATCCACACAGAAGCTAACAAGCGAAAGGAGACTAAAAACTATGAGCCATTACGAACACAGGGGGAAACGGCGCGAGTCAGATCTCGAGTATTGAATTCCGTCTTAATAAGACCACGATTGGCCTAAAATTGTACACAATTCATATTAACATCGTGCCACTCTACACCCGAAGGGGATCAAGATTATGCACAACAGGACTGTGGTTACCAATAACGATCGATTTTAATACTATCAGTCCGAGTAGGAAAAAAAAAAAAAAAAAAAAAAAAAAGAGAGAGAGAGAACTAAACAAAAAGCTTTAATTACACTGCCGGTACTCCGTATAAACCCCAAGCTAAGCCCGCTCTCTGACCTTAACCGCAGCAGCCGATCACACATGGACATGGACGAGACCCCTCTTCTCTTGGCTTGTATAAACAGGGATACGGCGTCGAGGCAAGGGGATGCATCATGTATGTCTAATGTGTCTAAACTTGGAAGCAGGGAAAAAAAAAGAGGCTGTGGTAGTTCCCGCACGCTGCATATGTGACTGTTTCTGTTTCTGATTTTCCCATCTAGTTATATCCAATTACGAAGTATGTTTCAAAAATCCCTGCAAGAATGCCTTGCAGTCCAGATCAAGATTCTCATCGCGGATCCTCATAATCTGCAACGACTCACATTGTAGATGGTGGATCGCGCGAGAACCCGATCACACTCTCCTCCCCACAGCCATCTACCTAGTGCCCGTGATTTGTCTGGCCTTTGCTAAACGGTCGTGATAGTGACGGGCATCAGCACGGGTCATATCTTAGCCTGGAATGATCCTTCAAAGTCCCCTGCATAATGTGTACTGCTTGTTATTTTAGTTTATTGTTCCTTTTTCCTTTTAGGGATGTGCTTTGCAGAAGGAATGATTATTTCCAGAAATCTAGGGGATGCATATAGCGTGTTTTATGTGATACAGTAGTACAAAGTATGTATTACGCATCTAAATCTCGCCATAGATAGTGTATATTAATGTAGTATAAGATGTTTGTCACTTATCTGGGATTCGGCTCCTGATGCTTGCTCTGCCACGAGGGTGACAGGGGAGCTATTCTCCGGTTATGCAATGTTGCATGGGGCGGGGTGCAGGGCAACTTAGTCAAACTTATTAACAGGCGTTTGGGCCCCCGGGATAAGATGGTGTGTATATGGAGATTCATATACCTTATAGTATATAAATCAATAGTTCTATGCACAATATAGGAGGATATAGTAAGAAATATAGTAACCGTTCCACCAAGTGGTTTCCCCCGGACGAACTGAGACGGTTTGAGATACGGAGCCGGGAGTTTGGGGTATCCGTCCACCCACAAGCGTTAAGGATCGGCGTACTGAAACAAAAGCGTAAACTTTGGAAAACGACAAAATGACAAAATGCCAAGACCCGCCAGCCAAGGGCTCCGGGGCCCCCACCACTAGGCTGACTCTCTTTGCTTTTTTGGTGTTTGATTTTTTATTTATTTTATTTTTTGATTTACGCCCTTTCTACTTTTGGTTTAGTGAACTCGGGCTAGTTCGGTTCAATCGACTTCAAGTTTGGTTGAGGCTTTGGTTGGACCCAAGGATCTTCCCGTTCTGCCAGAGACCCTATCCAACCTTCGAATATATCCAACCCTTAGGTTATTATTGTGATATATATAGAAGCCAACAAATGAATAGAGAAGATAAAAAATTGCAAATATTTAATATTTTGGACCGTATTCCTAATTCAGAAAAATGTGCCGCCAGTTGGTATCCATGCAGCCCTGTAGCGAGCCTCTTACATGCCATATTAGGAATAGCGCCTCCCAATCTGGTCCTCCGAGTTGCCTAAACCAGCACATGCCCCACTGATATTTACCTTAGCCTTTTAATGGGGCAAACCCGTTGCATTCCGTGGGAGCTTGGACTCGCAGCCCTCGATGTGAAAGCTCTCCACGCGGGATTTGGAATATCAGAGCCGTTTTAGCGGCTTCGTTTCTCGTTTAATGCTCTATTTTCTTGACTTTCTTTATTTTAGGTAAAGGTTGCGATGGTATTTGGAATCCATTCCATTCCCTATTATAGTATTGTAGCATTATATACTAGTATAAATAGGGTAATAAGCACTAATTACGAACGGTAGCGAAATTACGCTATCTCGAACCAAAACAGCCAACGGCCTATTCCGCCAAATTCCTTGTTATGAATCATTAAAGGGCAGACTGGAAAGTGCGCCTCAGCCGCACTCATGTTGGCTCTAATGCAATGCCCCTGTCGTGTAAATTTAGTACGGCTTATGCTCTGATCATCCCGCAGAGCGATCATCGCCTCCACGCCCGTGCTGGTTTTTTTCTTTTTCTTTTTTTTTTCCCTGGATCTAATCTCAGTTAGCCTTAGTTAGCCTTATGTTGGAATTATTTTTGTTGGAATTATTATTAGCATGAATACTCCGTATATTTTAGGGAATTAATTCATTATTTAAATTATTTAAATTATTCTTTTTTTTTTTAGCGCATATTAATTTCCTCCAATTTACCCAAAGTCTATTAATCCGTCTCGTAGATCTGTAGGAACAGCCCTTCTACTGTGCATATTGTTCCCTCTATATCAGTCCACCCTCCTCTCTTCTTCATCTCTTCTCTTCTTCCAGGATTCTCTGCAGCTTACATCTTCCAATTCAAACCAGCCTTATATCTATATCTTGTATCATTCCATCCCTCCCATACTTATCTACTCTTTCTCTTCTATTGTCTTTATACACGCCATGACCCGGGGATCCACAGGGCGCATCGGTCCAAACCACATCGTCTCAGTCTTGAACTCGCCCTCTGTCTCCTCCTCTTCTTCACCTGAACCTCAACAACTTGCTTCCAAATCCAACATGGCGGGCCGGAAGAACAGCATGCGTACAACCTCTCCGGCAGATGCTACTGTGCCCGTGACCTATACACCAACCACCCATCGCATTAGCAAGGCCAAGAAGGGAAAGCGCGTACATGCCTGCCAATACCCAGCATGTGGAAAGGTCGGCGCAACCATATATATCTATAGACACCTATCGGTTCAATCAAACTGACTCCATTGCAGGTCTTCACCAGAGCCGAGCACCGAAGACGCCATGAGTTGAACCACAACCCCGAGGCATCGTACCGCTGCGCAACACAGGGGTGCAAGAAAGCATTCCACCGTGCTGATCTACTTGCGCGCCACATGGAGAGACAGTGAGTATTACAGGGAGCTTTTGGCAATATGGCGCATACTAACAAGAATGGCAGCGAACTCGAATCACAATCAGAGCAGTCCTCGTGGACATCCAACAACCCACAGCCCATCGCAACCGAGTCCGCTGTCCCGCGCTGTATGTCAATGGACCATGGAATGCCATTGACCGCACCCTCCCATTCACACTCCATGTCTATCGGCTCACTCGTGGCTCCGGGGATTCACCCGGATCTGGCAAACAACGACTGCTCATTAATGTGGAGCGGCGTCGACTTGCCCCTACAGCCCCGCCCGGCTTTCCATAGCCAGCTCCCAGAGTCTGTTGACGACAGCCCATTCTACTCTTCCCCCGCAGAGACCTGCCCCTCGCCTCTGTCGGATGCGACTTTCTCTCTCCCTCCCCACTCTAGCTCCTCCATCTCTTCCGCATCTGTGTCGGTCATCGACCAGTACCCCAAAAATATCCTCAAGGGCGATGTCACCTCATCCCCGCTTCAGATGCACACTCCCCTCCGCTGGGATACTGATGCCGGCATGCCTCCATCGCATCTAGTTCCCATGTCCATGGGGGAGAATATGATCCAGCCAGTGAGTTCTCTTTGTGATTATTCAGTGTGACCATTGACTAATATATCCCCAGCCCGTTCAGTGCCACTACCCTTCTCCTCCGTGGTCCAGCGCAGAGTGTCTTCCCTATGAGGACCAGGTCCACTCCATGCAGCAGTTCCCTGTGACCTGGAGCATGTGAAAATATCATCGAAGCTCTGTGATCAAACTATATTGATCATAGACGGGCAAATTTTATGACTACATACACAACTACCCGGGCGTTTGCCTCCATACGAAACCACCGCGGATGATCCAACGGCCCTAAAAATCTTTGGACTTCATGGAAAACAAAACAGATGTGGGTCCAATGGACGGGACTCCCGAAGGGTGGTCTCGACTCCTTATAAATGACTCAATCGTCATTACCAGAGCTCTCCACCTGTCTCCATTCTGGGCCGGAGTAACCACCTGGACTCTGGGTCCACCGGTTGCCGTCGCTTCACGCACCCATCAATTATTCCAAATAAAACGACCGAAGTGTCACGGACACAAACTAGGAGTTGGAGTTGGAGTTGATGGTCCTTTTTTCCTTTTTTTTGTTTGACGCATTTCCTTATGTGTGATATTTGACGACACGATCATGATTCTCTCTCTCTTTTTTTTTTTTTGCCATTCTTGTCTACTATACCATCTATACCCCTGCAGGCCATTCAAATGTACTGCAAATTTCGTTTGACGATAGTCCCACCATACCCCGGCATTTTATAAATGTATAGCTCCAACCTTGGAAATTTGATGAAATGACAAATCTTTTCAAACGCCCGATATAAAGTTCAACTCTAATAAATCAACACCCGTGGCTCGGTTGGCCGTCATACCCGTGGACCCAAGCGAGATAAGCGATCTTCGATCTAGCGGAAATCGATTCCATGGAAAAGGATAAACTTCGGCTTATGTAAAGCGGAACAAAGCGCCAGGAAAGAACCGAACCTTGGAAAACATCCTTTCCAAGTACCTAGGTAGGTAGGTACAACGTTGGACGCTGTAGGTAAAACGTTCCAAGGTTCTTCAAAGGCATTGTACGCCCCAGGGTTGACTATCAAATCTCCTGAAATTCAAAGTGCAAAAGTCAAGGTCCCACAGCTTACAATTCCAATTCCAATTCTTGAAAAAAAAAAAAAAAAAGTCCGCCCAAAAACTCTCTTTCGGTCGCTACTTTGTGGTCCTGGACCTTAGCGTTTGGCTAAAGACTCGACTAACTCCACTTTATATTCCCGTACGCCCCGAACGGCCATTTTGTGAGTACATAATCATCAACTGCTGTTATTAGGTAGGGAGTTAACCACGCTGGTCCCCAGGCTATTCTCGATGTGGTAAACGGACCTGCTCTTCTCCACCTTGTTTCTCTCCCCGCTAGACTAGTTCTGGGTCTCGTGGAGTAAATACTAGAGAGGAAAAATAATTTTAATTGGCTGGGTCGGTTCCAAGGTTTGGATTGGAGGAGTCGTCGTGGATTCGGGTCTTGTGTTCATCTCGCGCGGAGAGCCGGAGAGTAGGTGGGTTTTTGGGCTTCGATCTGGAATTGGCCTTTGAGACTGTGTCTTAGCCCTGGACCTGAGTACTACTAGTATGAGTATGAGTATGAGTAAGCTTGGTTCGAGATGGGGAGTTTGAGGGTTGTTATTTGTTTGATTTATGATCATACGTTTACATTGATGATTTTGTCTTTTGGTTATGAATTTCAATGTTGTATCACCGTTATTGCTTTCCCCCTTCTCCTGAGTCTTACCTACAAAATAGTTAATTAGAGCTGTCGCGGACTTGGCTGTGGGGCACGGTTAGTCTGGCGTGTCGATCAGGGGTTCTCGTGGGAGTCATACGGTTTTTCGAGGCCTTGGCTTTCGTTTAGACGACCTGCCTGCTTGAGCGATGATATGCATTTACTCTTTGTTTTGGTGATTCTTGATTGGGCTTGGTGAATTGGGTGTGCTGTATTTGGTATGTAGTGTGGAGCATGGAGTAGTGTTGTGATAGATACTGTACGTAGTATAGGTACTGTCTACGGGTTATGGCCTACCTACATTGTAGGGACAAGATTGCACCAGGGGTTATGGTTGTTCTTTGGCACATCTAGTCTCTAACTCTTCTGTGGAGACCTTTATCTATAACAATAGTACTCCGTACTGTTCTCTTTGACAAGAATTGGGAAATGGGTTTGGGGTTTGCCCTTCATTCCCCTATATCGATACATCCTCCGCCATCCTTTCTCAGGGTGTATAGGGACATAACGTACAGGGCACTCATATGATAGAAATAGGGGGTTCAACATGGATCATCTTTATCTGAGTACAGCCGTGAAGCTGCACATTCATTGGTCTGATTGGTCGGTTTTACGTCGGTAGAAAGATCCGATGATAAACAGCCATGATGCTGTCTTAAGAAAATGAAACAGAAAGAATTAAGTAAAAGACGTGGACTTCTTGATAGCTGTCACTTGCGACTAGGTACATGTCTACATCAAGATGCCTCTACAGCAAAGGGAATGCCATACCATCGCCTCGAAGATCACTGCCTGCGGCATAAACCAACTTCCCATCGTCATAGTATGAACGAATGATCTGGCCACGACCAAACATAGACCGCTTCCAACCAGTCAACACCTCAATCTTGTGACCAAGACGACGTAGTCCCTCCACGGTGGCATCACTAATACCCTCCTCAACCCACACCGTGCGGTCAGTACTCTCGTCATTCGGCGCAGCAAGACAGAAGCGCGGCGAATCGAGCGCTGCCTGGGGATGATACCCGAAGGCAAGCATGTTGAGCATAACCTGCACATGGCCCTGGGGTTGCATAAAGCCACCCATAACACCGTAAACGGAGTGTAGGGAGCCATCGGCGATATTAGTGATAAGGGCAGGGATGATAGTGTGGTATGGTCGCTTGCGGGGGGGCTAGGACATTAGGGTGGCCTTCCTGCAGCGAGAAATTGGCACCGCGGTTCTGCAGCGTGAAGCCACAACCAGCAGGGATGATGGCCGTTCCGAACCCGGCGTAGTTACTGTTGATAAAAGAGATGCCGTTGCCCTCGTTGTCCGTCACTGCGAAGTACACCGTGTCGCAGTGGTTGTGCGCTGGACTGCCGTGGTCCAGGATATCTGCTGCGCGTTCGGGTGTGAACAGCTTCGCCCGCTCTGCGAGGTACGCGCGGTCGAGTAGGCCCTGCGAAGGCACGCTCTCCACATCTGGGTCTGTAACCCACCAGGCTGCGTCGGCAAAGGCGATGCGCAGACTCTCAATTACAGCGTGTAGGTACTCAGCAGAGTTATGCTGGGCCTCAGTGAACTTGGGGATCTTGCCTGATTTCTCAAGTTCCTCCATGATGCCGAGTGCCATTAGCGCCACGATTCCCTGGCCGTTTGGTGGGTGCTCCCAGATCTCAACGCCTTGGTTGGCTTCGCCATCTGTGCCGGGTGTGGCTTTCGAGACGATGTCTTGGCCAGTGAACTTGAGTGAGATCGCGTCGACTTCCTGTGTCCCGGTCTCGGCGTGATAGGCTAGATCCTCGAGTGACATGTAGCCCCCCAGGTCTTGCACCACCTTGACGATCGATTCTGCGATCCGTCCTTGGTAGAATCCTTTCTTGCCCTCTGCAGCGAGTGCGCGGAAGGTCTTGGCTAGAGTGGGATTCTTCATGATTTCGCCTGGACGCGGGGCTCGCACGCCATCTTTGGCTGAAGGATCGACTTTCAACATTTCACGGAAATTAGGGGATGCATTGCGGATATCTTTCTCGGATTCATTCCACTGCGCGCGGATTAGTTTATGGTACCATGGTGCGATTGTGGTTGAAAATTGAATACTTACACCCTGAGATGAAAGCTCCGACACAGGAAACCCCTCCTCTCCCAGCTCAATGGCAGGCTGTAGAATCTGCTCGAGCGACAACTTACCGCTACCGAACTTCTCGATTGTATCAACCCATCCTGCAGCCGCTCCAGGCGTAGTCGCAGCTAGAGCATTCAACATGGGCATCTTGCCCGGCTGTCCGGGGGCCAGACCGAGATCCTTGCGGACCTTCTCTAAGCTGGCATTACCAGGATACCGACCAGAGCCATTGAGCGCATGCACCTTCTTCGTCTTGGCATTGTAGAAGAGACAGAACATGTCGCCTCCGATGCCCGTGGAGCAAGGTTCAGTCATATTGAGTCCGGCGGCTGTAGAAGCATGAGATCAGTTCATTGTTTCGTACTGTGATTATGCAACTCGAGGCGAGGCTTACCAACGGCAACAGCAGCATCCTAGGCAAGAATATCACAGTCAGTATTGCTGAAATGGAATGCGACGCGTAGAATTGAATAAGGCGCATACCGCTGCATTTCCACCTTGACTCAGGATCTTATGACCCGCAGCAGCGGCTAGTGGTTGGGTGCATGATATGATGCCCTTGGTGCTGTGGACAGTACTCCGTCTACTAGCAAATGGGACATAGTCCGCGTTCTCGCGGGTGTATACGGCTTTGGCGTTGAGCGGCATGGCTTGGGATGATAGAGAAGTGGAAGAGCGGGGGATATGAGGGGGGGATATCAGATGCTTATCAACCCCCACCAATTTCCCCAGGGCAGGGCAGGGCTGTCATAAATGGATAAAAGGAAAGTAAATTGGAATGTTCCTCGGTAAAGTCTGACGAATTGGAGGAAATTGAATGGATACTACTTGAGTATGACTCCAACTATGGGGAACCTTATAATTACCTAAGTAAATACTCCTGCCCAGACACCTGGGGTCCACTACTACATCTATATACTTGTAACATGTGAAGAACTTAATTCCTTATACTCTTTGAGCCCCTTATTATGGTGTTACTAAATAACATGTAGTATGTATACGCTGAAATCAAAGAGCTTTGAGAATACACTGCTATCAAGGTATAAAGCCGCGTTTGTTACCCGATTAGGAAACAAACGGCTGAGCTTATGTACCTGTATACATCTATGGATACTCCATATCGGAGTTGAACATGGCCTCCCCGGTGATTTGACCGAGGCTAGTTGAGAGAGTATGACGTATACCTAGGTATCATTCTATTATTGTGCTATCCACATCGCATCCTCATTTCTGAAATGAAGACAAGTTGAACAGTCGACATCCATGGATACAGAAACGTGATCACGTAACTCACCGCCCCGGTTTTCGGAGCGGCAATTGATCCCTCCGCCATCATCCCACCCCCCGGACCATTCAGTTCCATAGATGTTGAACGGGGCACTATAAAAGACCCCTGATCTTATCTGATGAACCTGATCTTGAGAAAAGGCCTCTGATGGAGCAGCATGGTGGTATTTGTCGACCTCGACGATGCATTTCCCGATGGATCGGCACATTTGGAGAAGCCATTCCCATTGATGGTTGACCCCATCGCGTCGGAGCCGGCCGAACTATCCACATTGCCTACTTTGCCGAATGAAACGACCAACGAGATCCTAAACCCCAATCGGAATGGATTCTCCGCGGCTTTGAGTTGTTATCCGTATGTATTTGCCTGCCAACAGCCGTCAAATAAGATTCAGACCCAGCTGACAGGTCACACCATAGTATTGTCAAAGAAATCGCTCGCGCCATCGACCTGAATACCCTCTATGCCCTCTCGAATACATGTCGCCAGTTCCACGTGAACTTGGCACCATTCCGCCACCAACTAGCGAGAGAGACTCTCCGGTGCGAGAATGAATACATCGAAACCCTAGCAGAGATGCTAGACAGCGGCTCTGTCCTCCCAGACAGCGTCAAATCAGTCATACGACTACTAAGCCGTCCCAGCGGCGAGCAAACCCGTATGACCCGCGGGAAGGTGGCCAAGTGCGCGCGCGACATGGTGGGCGAATGTCGACGCTGCGCCAAGGTTGTATGCAGAGTAAGTCAAATCCCCTCCGTCCCCCCGCGCCAAAAAAAAGACCCGCCAAATTGCTAAACCAAGCTCCGCAGAACTGCACAATCAAACCTCCTTCCCAACCAGCCCTTAAAAACCGTATTCGCCGCCTCTGTCGACCCTGCGGGATAGCGCCACTCTCCTCCCATCTCTCTTTCACAAACTCAGATCCGCACACCCCCGACTCATGGAACGAGAATAGCGTCGCGGCAATTGCGTTTGCGCGAAACCCCTGCAATTGCGAGGAAGCCGTCTGGCTGTGTACGCAGTGCGGAATGACACTGCGTAGTAATGACACGACATACCGTCGTGTCTGGGCGTGGCGCACACGCTACAGCACGTACCTCGGCGGTGGGCTGGGTACTGGCATTGGCGAATGCAGTCAGGGTGTTAAGTGCGGGCGTGGTGAGAACTGCCTTGCTGCGCAGGAGATTGAGCTTGAGGTTGACTGTGAGGCCGATGAGGGATCTGGGTCTGGGAGTGATACCAGTAGTAGGGCACATAGTCCTGCAGCTCCTCCCTCGTTCGGTTATGAGGGGATTGGCGTCTCGGATAGCCACGAGGATGAGGAGCCTGGGTATTTCAGGCAGGAAGTTATTGGGCTGGGTGGTATTGTGAAGCATAAGTCTAAAAAGAGGGTTAATGTTGGTGCTTGTGTTGTTGAGTATGAGGATGAGAGGGATACAGGTAATTATCTTGAGAGGGAGGAGAAGGGTTTGTATCGTGCTTGGTGTGGGTGGTGTTCTAGAGTGATTCCGGCGAAGAGCGAGCAGATTTGATTCTACTTTATTACTTATTCGGACTGTCTGGTCTAGGGCTTTGCATGTTGCATATTGCATTTAATGCTCGGGCGACTTCTCAATTGTTTACGACTGATACCACTGGCGAAGATACCAGTTTGGTAAAATGACATGCCTCATGAAACATGATTCGACTGATGGGATTGACGTTAGGGAGTCAAATTGGATAGAGATACATACTACTGTGCATACGGAGTATAGGCACTCGAGATAGCCTTAATCAAAATCCTTGTCAAGTTGATGCATATTGAATCAAATCTGGCTAATAAAATCAAGTCAAGTACTCCTGCAATGATTCGCTCCCCAATGCAAGCACAAATTCATCAAGCATACACATTGTCACATAGATCATTCTGTCAAACCACAAACCACCCCCGTTAAAGTAAAAGACAAGGTTGAAAGTAGAAAGAAAATCAAAAACGCAAAACAATCTCTACAGTCTCAATGGGCAGCAATCGCTCTCCAGAGACCCTTCAGCTTCGACTCCTCTCGGGGAGGCGATTCCTCGCGTCTGTGGCGACGATGAGAGCGAACCTCTCTCGTCTCCCTGGAACGCCGGGAGGAGCCCTCAGGCTTCTTCTCCCTCTCCTTCTCTCCCTCGATTTCTCGTTCACGTGCGTGCTCACGCTCACGCTCCTTCTCCACCCGGTCTCTCTCCCTCTCCCTCTCCTTCCTCTCCTCCCTAGATCGACCATGCTCAGCCGTCGACGAGCGTCGCAATCTCCTACTCTCAGTGCGCTCAACACGCTCAGTGCGAGGAGGCTCCTCTTCGCGCCGCGACCGAGATCCGCTGGACCGACCACTGGAGTGTCGCTCTTCATGCTCCGCTCGATCCTGATGGCTGCCACTGCTGTGGCTGTGACTTGTCGATGACCGGCGTGGCCTCTCAATTGGTGGTGCAGCCTTGGCAGCATTTAGACGCAGTAAAGGCCCATTGGTATCCGACTTGCCTTCAGTCATGTACCGCAGGAAGGCACGAGGCTTAGGCGTCGGTATGGATGTTGATACTTGCTTCGATGATGAGGTCCTTGTTGAGCGAGCTCGTTCGAGAGGCTGGTCCGAGGGAGTATCGGAGGTGCGGTGTTTGGATCTGGGTTCGATGACTTCGGGCTCCATTTCTGGTTCCATTGCCCTCTCCTTCTCCTTCACCTTATCCCTGGATGAGCTCTTGGAGCGCTTCAATTTCTCGGGGGCAGGAATACCGCTGCGCTCTCGTTCCTCGGCGAGAGCACGCTGCTTTCGCTGTGCCTGTGATTTCTCGTCGTGTTGGCGTCGTGCTTCTTCCAGTGCCTTGGCCCAGCGGTTAGTGAAGATGTTTCGCTCGCTCTTCTGACGCTGGAGTTGATCCCGGCGGCCTTCGGATGATGTCTTGGAATGCCGACGCTCTCCTTCGATTGGTGAGGTACGCTTTCTGCGGCGTCGGGAGTGGCGGACTGCTGCGGCTTCTGCGCTTTCGTCAAGAGGCTCGGCTTCGATCATCTCCACCTCGGGCTGGGCGTCTGCTGGGGGTGGTACGAGCTCGTCGGGCGCCACTTCGTCGTCAGCGGGGACAGGTACTGGCTCGGGGGCAGCTTCTGGTTCTGCTGGTGGGTCTTCAGCGGGGAGATCTCTGGCAGCCTCTGGCTCAGGGGTTGGCTCCTCTGGCGGTGTCTCAGACAATGCATCTTCCGGCGTTGGAGTTTCGACTGGGACTGCAGCTGCCTCGGCCTCTGGTGTCTCAGCTGGGGCCTCGTCTGGAACCACTAGTTCAGCCGGGGATTCGTCAGGTGCCGGGATCTCAGCTGGAGCAGCTTCAACAGGAGCTGGCTCTGCGGGCGCTGGCTCGTCAACAGGTGTTTCCACTGGGATCTCCTTCGGCGCCTCATCGGGTACGACTTCAGGTTCTGCTACGGCCTCTGCGGGGGTCTCGGCAACGGGCGTTTCTTCCACCGGGGCGGGAGCAGGTGTCTCCTCAACCGCTGGTTCTGGAGAAGGGGTCTCCTCTACAGGATCTGCGACAGCGGGGGCATCTTCGGTCACTTCCTTCTCTTCAGCGGCAGGTGCCCCGGGAGCTTCAGGAATCGGGTCAACGGCTTCTGGTGCAGGAGGTGGAGTCTCTTCAACTGGCTCCTCAGTGGGAGGTTCGACAACAGCCTCAGCAGCGGGCTCAGCAACAGGTTCAGCAGCAGGTTCTGGAGCGGGTTCAGGCTCAGGCTCAGCAGGAGCTTCGGCGACAGGCTCCGTAACAGGCTCAGCAGGAGCTTCAACGGTAGGCTCCGGAGCAGGCTCAGGCTCAGCAGCAGGTTGAGCAGCAGGTTCGGCAGCAGGTTCGGCAGCAGGTTCGGCAGCAGGTTCGGCAGCAGGTTCGGCAGCAGGTTCGGTAGCTGGCTCAGGCTCAGGCTCAGGAGTAGGCTCAGCAGGAGCTTCAACGGCAGGTTCTGGAGCGGGTTCAGGCTCAGGCTCGGCAAGAGCTTCAACAACAGGCTCCGTAACAGGCTCGGCAGCGGGCTCAGAAGCGGGTTCCGGAGCGGGCTCGGGGGTGGGCTCAGCAGGAGCTTCAACGGTAGGCTCCGGGGCAGGCTCAGGCTCAGCAGCAGGTTCTGGAGCGGGTTCGGGCTCAGGCTCGGCAGGAGCTTCAACAACAGGCTCCGTAACAGGCTCGGCAGCGGGCTCAGAAGCGGGTTCCGGAGCGGGCTCGGGGGTAGGCTCAGCAGGAGCTTCAACGGCAGGCTCAGGGGCAGGCTCAGGCTCGGCAGGAGGCTCAGCAGCGGGTTCAGGGGCAGGCTCAGCCGGAGTGCTTTCTTCGACGGGTGCCTCTTTGGGAATCTCAACTGGCTCGGGCTCTGCAGCTTCCACCTTCTCCTCCGCAGCAGCTTCGGGTTCGGCAGCAGGCGTTTCCTCAACTGGCGGGGCCTCCGGCTCTGGTTCCTTGGCAGGTTCTTCGGGAGCCTTCTCCTCTTCTGCTGCAGGTTGAGCAGGTGCCTCTGCCTCCGCTGGTTGTTCGCTTATTTCAGCTGGTGCTTCAGGCTCCGGCGCTGCTTCAGCGGCTGGTTCCGGCTCTAGGTCGGCGGCTGGCTCTGGTGTTGGCTCTGGGTCGGTTGCCTTCTTGCCTTTCTTGCCCTTCTTTTTCTTAGCCTTGGCCGTTGGCTTGGGTTCCTCTGGCTTGGGCTCTGCGGGTGGCTCGGGTGCTGCTAGTTCCTCTAGAGCAGGGGGATCAGGAGGATTATCTGCGGGCTTTTCGGGTTCAGCTTCAGGCTCCGGGGCTGTTTCGGCGGCTGGTTCTGCCACTGGCTCTGGTTCTGGCTCTGGCGCTGGTTCTGCTGCTGGCTCTGGCTCTGCTGCTGGCTCTGGCTCTGCTGCTGGCTCTGGCTCTGCTGCTGGCTCTGGCTCTGCTGCTGGCTCTGGCTCTGCTGCTGGCTCTGGCTCTGGCACTGGTTCTGCTACTGGTTCTGGCTCTGGCTCGGCGGCTGGTTCTGGTGTTGGCTCTGGGTCGGTTGCCTTCTTGTTTTTCTTGCCCTTCTTTTTCTTACCCTTAGCCGTTGGCTTGGGTTCCTCTGGCTTGGGCTCCTCTGCGGGTGGCTCGGTTGCTGGCGGTTCCTCTGGAGCAGGTGATTCATCGACCTTTGGGGCTTCTTCCTCTAGGGCGTCCTCGGCGGCCGCTTTAGCAGCAGCCTCTTTCTCGGCCGCTAAAATCTCAGGATCTACGTCTGCGTCAACATCTGGGAACCCTTCATCTACGTACTGTCAGCTTCGTAAGAACTAATGTAAGTTTGGATACTGACCATTGTTGCCGTCGCCTTCCTTTTTCGTGTCTTCACCTGCTGGAGCATCTTCTCCACCTTCAGGTTTTGTATCTTCAGGCTTTGCATCTTCTTCAGGCTTTGATTCCTCTTCAGGCTTCGCACTGTCATCGGGCGCTGCACCGCCTTCAGGTTTAGATTCATCTTCAGGCTTTGGGTCGTCTTCGGGCTTTGGATCTCCTTCAGACTTGGCTTCTTCTTCGGATTTGGCTTCTTCTTCAGACTTGGCTTCTTCTTCAGACTTGGCTTCCTCTTCAGGTTTGGCTTCCTCTTCAGGTTTGGCTTCCTCTTGGGGCTTTGCTTCGCCTTCAGGCGCTGCACCGTCGTCAGGCTTTGGTTCCTCTGTGGGTTTCCCGTCTTCTACGGCAGCGTCCTTGGAAGCCTCGTCGGGATTCTCTGCATCTGGCGCTGGCTCATCCTTGCCATCTTCTTTAGCTTCTGGGGCAGCCTCCTCGGGTGGAGACTCGGCTGGTGGTGCAGCCTCTACGGAATCTGAACATTGTATGTTAATATCAAGTACAAAAAAGTAGAGTATAGATTCTTCGGCGAGAAACCTCATCATCTATAGAAACATGTACTTACCTGTAGGTTCAGCGGACGGGCTGTCATCGCCACTTGGCTCAGCGGCAGGGGGGTCTTCAGAGGCAGGGTCCTTCTCCGGTTCGGCGGTGGGCTCCTTGTTGTCCTGGTTTTGGCCCTCGGTCAGATCGGTCGTTGAATAGGTGACAGGGTAAAATTGGAAAGATTTAGTCTCATAATCAAAGGTCGAATATTGACGTTGGACCGATGCATATGAGAACTGAGGGAGATCGGCATACTTGTAAGACATCCTCAACAGCGGCTGCCGCCGGGGACGGGGCAGGGTCGACGAGGTCTTTGTTCTCGGGTTCAGGGGGTGGTGCAGAACCGACGGGAGGGCGATTGTTGTTGTTGTTTTTATTGTTCTTGTTCTTCTTCTTACTCTTAGGGGCCATGATCCCCGGTCAACGACGTATCATATATCGAGAGCCTGGGTGAGGCTGACTGGCGCGTGATGTAACGAGAACCGGGACAATGGGAAATTGACAAGCCGGCTTGTCGGGCTCGATGCACGGAAAAGTATGGGGCGGCAGGGGAAATCGAGGAACAAAAGATACAAAATATGGACAATTGAGTGTGAGACTGGGCAGGGTACCTGATGTATTAGAGTACTAAAAGGGAAAGGAAGGATATGCTTGTTTCTCTGGTGACACAGAGGTCGCATTGGACAGTCATGGTGAGGCAGCGTATAATAGTTCATCTCCTATGCGGTCGGATGGGACGACAACAAAGTGCATTACGGTCCTTGGGCCCTGAACGTCACCAATGAACTGCCCGATAGAGCCAATTGTTATTGGGCCACGTCGGTCGTCGGGTCTCCATCTCCAGGGCCGACATGATGGTTTAGTGAGGTCCGGTGCTTGGTTAGGGCCGGGTGAGAGCAGCAGAATCCCCACCGGCAGGAAGAGCTGCAGCACTAAGTAGTAAATGGGGAGATGGGATTGGGGATCGGGGGGGCACATCGGTCAAGATAGGAAAGGTAGTGCTGCAGGAGTATGGAGAAACTGGGTCTGTTGAAGTGGGGTGGATGCCACCGAATGTTGAAATTGAATTGGATTGACTTGGTTTTTTTTTTTTTCTTCTTTGTTTTCGTTTGTTTTCGGGCCTGGATACTACACACAGACACACATATTGAGATGAGAATAGAAATGAATTGGGCCGAGGAAACTTCGTAGATGTACAGTACACAAAGCCACGAAGGCAATGTTTCAGTAGGAAAATCGATGGGCGACGCATAGGTGATGCAGACCCATTTCTGCCCAACGTGCCCCGGTAACGGCGGCAAATAGGACGCAGGCGTACAAAGTACACCGGTGGGGAGACCAGGACGATTAACCTCAAACGGGATCCGATACTGGGAGGCAAATATTGGAACTTCTCAATCTCTGCATTATTCATATAATTAAACTGGGAAGGCGAAACGGGGTGGTTGGGAATGAAGTTGGTATGGAGCTTGATGGAGTCGTGGATAGTCGAATCTCCACTTTGGACACCGACACCGACACCGACACTTCAGAGTATTGTCCGAAAACATTATTCTGTGACACTCAACTGTAAGGGATCCAGCAGTTGAAATGGTGATGTAATATGCAGTTAAACATCGTGGACTGCATCAAATGTCTTTGTAAAAGAAAAAGTAAGAGGGAAATGGCGAAATCCGGAGTTTCTTGGGGTCAGGTGATATTGCGCATTGGACTTGGACATCAAATTCTCCCTCGTTTCTGCTATATTCTGCTATATTCGAGATTTTCATATGCTGTATTTCCATTCCACCTATGATTACAGATCTTTGCGTCAATACCAGCCACTCCTAAATCAACACGTCCGCCAATTTCTGCATCCAACTTGGTCCGCGAAGTACACTAACTGACCCCACGGCTATCTGGTCGATGTGTCGTCTTACAGCAGCAGCTTCGCCACTGGGATCCTCTTCTTTCAAAATGACATATGTGTTCAGTTCGACCTAATGTACCTAAGGGTATAGACCTAATGTACCTAAGGGTATAGATAGGTACAGAAGCCAACTCTCGAGTCTAAAAAGAGCTGCATGCATGTCTAGGCCACTTTTCGCTTTTCTAGCGGATCATCTCGGCGCTGACTTTTCGTGTTATTCCCCGATATGCTGTACCTCCTGATACAAGTCGTTAGCCAAATCGCCAGATACGGTCATCTATGTACCCAAGTCCATGCAGCGGGCCGAGTATCCATGCCGTGTTGGGGTGATTAGCAGATAGCGGTCCTCTCGAGGTGAACCCATTGCATTTGTAAATATTATTGGTGGATTTGTTTCTATTCTCAGAATCGGGCCAGGTTTCTTGGGTCTTGTTTGCATACGTTGGACTCCTAGACTCTTGGACTCTATACGGGGTAGATGGGCATATACATCACTCTTTTTCACTGAGCTGTTACTTTGTCACCCATGTACTTGAAAGGGGTATGCCGATCGGAGAGGAGACGTCTGAAGGTTAATAGACTTTCACTCGATGTCTTATATTTGAGATTCTAACTAGCGAATGGATAGGTCGTATGAAGTATAGCTTGGTAGGGGTGTTCCCGGCATCGGATCTTCAAGAATAACCCGTGCGAGGAAAAGAAAAAACTACTGGCAGTGGAGGGCTTCGCTTATTTTGGCAATGAAAACGTATTCGCGATATCGCTTGAAAAGGTACCCCATACATACGTTGTAGACCCTGGGAATTTCAGCAAATATCCCTTCTACTCCGTTATCCCGCCGGCGATCTCCTTCCCCTCACAGATGCATCGAATGTTCGCTAGAAGTGCTGGCTAGTCAAAAACATGGCGTGATAGAACTCTGATTGGCTGCCTCACTTTTTCATGCAAGTGAGTTAATACGCGCAGTATTACTCAGATCTATATCTTTTTCTATACTCCGTACGGAGTAAAGATTGAAGTGCACCTATGTAGGTAAAGAGTAATTAGTTTGAACATACGCAGTCAATTGATCTTAATGATTCAAGAACCTACTTTCTCGACCAGAGGAAACCATAACTGATAGACCAATATTTGGTACGGTGTATCTAGGCCTAGATAATATGCACGATAACACAAATACGGGGAACTACATGCGTACTAGCTTGGCATATGCAATTACCGGGACACGGATTGAATGATCCTAGGAGAAGTATGATTCTCAAAATTTGAAGTGAGGGGTCCCATGAGATAGAAGCCATTACGGGTCGATATTGGTTAATACCCCCCCCGTCTGTAAGTGGAATTCGCATATGAGACCTGTGAATCCCCTTTCTTGGAACTCTAGTTTGATATGACTAAATAAATGATATATTGAGTCGCGCGCTTGATTGCGCAGACTAGAGTTGACGCAGGTATTGTAGATACTGGTAGGACATGTTCATATTTGATGGAGCCCGTCTAGGTGAGTATATTCTACTTGCAGGATTGGCAATGCGGTATGAACCAAAGACGAGGTTAAGATGAAATTAAACGCTCTTCAGACACTATAAAAGGTGTTACATGTAATTCATCTAGACAGCCCGATGGTAGCCGAAGTCGTTCAGTTCATCACGAGGTGGTTCAAGAGGATGAAGACGGTGTTGAGTGATCCGCCCTAAATCATTTTCTGCCTCCGAAACCTCCCCGTCCTTCTCGCCGCGTACTATTCTGGCTAGTATCACCCTCGATTTCCTTTATATCCTCAATATCAATGGGTTATACATAAAAAAGTGGTTCTTACCACCTTTGTATACACCTGGAAAGACCTGTAGAACAAAAACGCGTCGATGTGTTCTTGCATATAATACTAATGTCATCTTGACAAATAAATCAGACTATTCAAGTCTTACATCGTCGAGGACAGAGTAAGATACAAATCATTTATTTTTGTTGGACTTATGTCCAAAACAGAGAAAGGTTGTTACCGAGACCAATTGTGTCCATCCCAGGCCCTTGACAACCCCTAAAAAATTAATATAAAAATATGCTCGAACGCCGGAGATAAAATGCAACCTGGTAATACAGAGCAAAACCAACTCATGCCCGCATGTGTGCATCCAGAGTCTTTCTCCACTTGGGGCCGTTGACTCTCATCAAGAAGATGACGGAGCTGCTCGCGAAACTGATTAGGCCGAGGATGGTGAAGAGCCATCCATTGCCGATACCGCTAATGATCGGGGCCGTGACGACGGAACCGACACAGGAGAAGATGTTTCGCATGAAGTTGTTGAGAGCTACACCCTCTGAGGACTTTTTCGGCATGAATTCGGTGAGCATGGTGGTTACCATACTGAAAATGAGCATGGAGCCCATACCAAAGAAGAAGTTTGCAATCATCTGTCGGGGTTAGCGAGTGCTACTAATGCATCATGGGGGCTATATTGAGGGTTTACATACCGGGACAAGCCAGAAGACTCCCTTCTCCGCTGCCCAACCATACCAAATCAGGGCTGCTGGGTACATGAAAGCACCAAGCCATGCATTCTCACGCATTCGGTCTTCTGGTCGTAGTACCAGTCTACCTTTCTCGTCGTATCGATTTGCCTTTCTCGCCTCCCGTTGCATGATACTGTCCATCCATTTGCCTCCAAAGATACTAGTCACCATGTAACCCAGTGAATTTGGAATGTACAGCAAACCAACGATGATGGTGGAGAAGTTGTATGGTTCCTGTGCAAAGGTATGCTCAACGCTGATATTGAGGACATACAGAGAACCAAAGGCGACACTGGCATAGTACACACTGAGAAGGACGGGGAGGAATCGGAGGTAAAGGATGATTTTGAGAGGATCAATGAAGATCATTTTTATCGTCTTAAGCCACCTTGTGGTGGACCGAACAACCTGCTGCGACGAAACTCGACTTAACGGGCGGTTGATGGCTGGATCCTCGTCGTCCTCCAGTTCAGCCAACACAGGCTTTTGCACGGCCAACGTCTCGGGAAGGGCGAACAAGATAAAGATGAGAGTGAGAGCACCAAATGCCGAGAGGAACCACATGGTGCTCCGCCATCCCCAGCGCTGAGCTAGGAGACCACCGACAATGGGCGCAAACAATGGCCCACACAGCGGGCCGAGATAGAAAATACCCATGGCACGTCCTCGCTCCCTAGGTTCCCAGAGATCAGCGATGGTGCCAGCACCAACCGCCTGGACAGAAGCAGAGGCGCCACCACTCAACATTCGCATAACAACCAGCATACCGATAGAATTCGAGATGGCGCAAAGACAGTTAAATACCACAAAGAGAGCAAAAGAAGCCAGGTAGATGGTCCGTCGGCCAAGTCGCTCGCTGAATGATGACCACCACAATGGGAATATCGACATGGCCAGCATGTACAATGCGATCGACAGATTAGTGATGGTGGTTGTCGTATTCAACTCCTTGGTTACTTGTGATAATGAAGCTGATAGAAGATTGATTAGAGATAATCCGAGGAATACCCTATTTATGATTGGAGACTCACGGAGAAAGATCGCGCTGCCCATCGGTGCTGTGGCTCCGGCAAGAGCGACGACAAATGTGATGAACCATTTCATTCGGCGAGTGTATGTCTTCGGATTTTCAACTTCTGCCACCAATGCCAACTGGCCGAACAAGCCTCTGCGCTTGAGTCGGGCGACCTTGATGGGAGGACCAACCTCGGTCAGCTGGCGTTCTAGGCGAGGAGGATCCTCTGGGTCGTGTTCTTCATCGGCGGTATTGCTGGAGGCACCCGATAGGGAGTGGGTATCATTATTAACCTCAGACTTTGTCTCGGCATACTCGGCTATGATCGTTGCATGTTCTCTGTTGTCCGAGGATGCGATGTCTTCTATCTCAGACTGCCCATGCATATTGGATGTATGTGATGAGGGATAAGGGCGACTTTTGCCAATTGAACATAAAATAAATCTGAATCCAAAAGAATAAGGCGCATAAAGCTGTACTTTGTACAAAAGTGAAGTCAAGTTTCAACAGTAAACGGCCCTGAATCCTGCAAGTAACCACTTGGGCACCTTCCTTGCAAAGAGTGTCGATCTATCCCACTGATATGCCTATTAAGATCAGCAAGACTGTAGTTACAAGGTTTGAATATATTGGATCCTCAGAGAGAAAAAAATAAATGTGAGAGAAAGAAAAAAAACTCAGAATGCGTTTGGAGATTTGACCGACAACCACCGACGGCGACCGAGTGTAGCTAATAATATTATTATCTCTTGCACTTTAGGGTACCTAGGAAGGGTACCAGTACTGGATTATTATCCGACATACTAACGCTAGTGCATGTTCTCTATCCTATTAAGATACAAGCCGGCTTATAGAGCCAGTCATCGTTGAGTGTCAGTGTGCCGGTCTTCCGTCGGCAAATCCTGAAGGAACTCCATCCCGAGGGAGATTAACTAACTAGAGACTTCCAGTGGTCTAGATGTTTTAATGTTCTATGATAAAGCAAAATCTATGGAACAAATTATGAAACATTTCGATGGCATCAGAGAGTATTTAACAGTCGTAATAGACTTCTCTTGGCTTTCGCTTATTACCCCTGCTTTCCCCAGATGCCACCATAGCTGTTGATTAATATATACCCCAGAGTCCCGAGGTCTTACTATTATCGTCAGTCCACTTACCAGGTCCACCTACCAAATATTGTCCCTTTATCTACATGCCGCATACAGCTGTGGTAGGTAGGTCGTATGTCCGCCTCGATTAATACTATAGAACAGACCCCGGTGTTATGGTAGGTGATGGTGGACTTGCCATGATTATACAACAGAACTGTCACCAAGAACAGAGAGTGGAACTCGAACAATCCAGAAACGTCCATGTTTATACGCCACCGGATCATTCTCTCCAACGCAAGTGGACCTCAAGAGGGCCCCAGAGCAGCAAGGAGGTGATTAATAAGCCTAGTAGACTGGGCAATGGATCCCCGAGGTCAACATGGCATAAAGACGGTGAACTCCTCCGCATCCCTCTCAACACCTAGGAAGAACATCACCCCGTGAATACCACATCAAAGATTCAAACCCAACATAACCATCCCAATGCAAACCAACATCAACCCAAAAGAGGTGCAGGCCCACCTCTCTCAATATAAGGGCGACAAATACGTCGAGGGCTGGGCTTCCCTCTGGGACAAGGGTGACAATCTGCCCTGGGATCGGGGATTCCCCAACCCCGCCCTGGAAGACACACTTGTTAAGCAGCGCCCGACAATTGGCGCGCCTCTTGCTACTGATGCACAGGGCCAGTCGTATAGGCGGAAGGCTCTCGTTCCTGGATGCGGGAGAGGTGTCGATGTCCTCTTGCTCGCAAGCTTTGGCTACGATGCTTATGGCCTTGAGTATAGCGCTGCGGCAGTTGATGCTTGCAAGAAGGAGGAGAGTGATAATGCCAGTTGGTATCGCGTCCGGGATCAGACTATCGGCACGGGAAAGGTTACTTGGATCCAGGGTGACTTCTTCGATGATGCTTGGTTGAAGGAGATTGGTATCCCCTTGAATGGATTTGATATTATTTATGATTACACGGTATGAATTCCTTTTTTTCCCTTTGTTGTTGCTTGTGTGTCCATCCACGTTGTGAGATTCATCACAATGCCGGAATACAGTCACGGAATTTGATAACAAAAATGTTGTTTCTGCTTTTGTCTATATCTCATGTTACTATGTTCACTGTTCTCACACTAACTATCATGCAGTTCTTCTGTGCCCTGGAGCCGTCAATGCGACCCAAATGGGCGCTCCGACAGACCCAGCTTCTGGCCCCTTCGCCAACAGGCAACTTGATCTGCCTCGAGTTCCCCCGTCACAAGGATCCCCAAGCCCCAGGGCCCCCGTATGCCTCTCCGTCAGAAGCGTACGTGGCACACTTGAGCCACCCCGGAGAACAAGTTCCCTACGACGCTAAAGGTGTCGTCAAGCACGAGCCTCTACGGGCACCGAGCAAAGACGGCCTGGAAAGAGTGGCGTACTGGAAACCAGAGCGCACGCACGAGGTAGGCCAGGGCGAGAACGGGGTGATCCACGACCGAGTCTCGATCTGGCGTCGTCGTAACTAGATCTGCCGAAACCACCCAGACAAAATAGATCTGCAATGGCACAGTCAGGCCTCTACTGAAATTGCCAAGGCAGAAATAAGATTGCGTAGATCTGAGTAGCTTAGGGCTTCTTCACAAGGGCATTGTAGTGTTCGCCGAGTCCGTAGGTGTGGCGGTAGTAAGCGAGCCAGATAACGCGTTTGCGCTTCTCCTCCTCGTCGAAGCTGTCGCTATCACCGGACTCGATCTTCTCCATCCGCCCATCCTTCTGTACAACGTTGATCTCCACACCGTATGCTCGGGCAATCGCCTGAAGCTCCAACTGCCCTCCCCACTCGGCAGTCAATTTGATCTTCCGAGTGTACGACTCTAGGGGCTCTTCCATGAACGCCTCGAAGTCCTCTTTATGTTCCATAATGAAATCCGCCGTCACAGCTCGGACAGCTCGATAGCCGTCATGTTGTGGGGAGGCGACTGTGTCGATGCGTGACTGTGTCGAGGGCTGGAGGACGATTCGGCTTGGGTCCGGCCGCAAGCCGAGTCCGGACTCGTCGAGTTGTTTGGCGACAGCTGAGTAGAGACAGTGTCCATCCGGAGTTACTTCTATTTCCTTCAGACCCAGTTTCTTGAATACAGCGTCCATGACCTCCTGTTCATTGCCTCTGTAGTTTGTTTGCGTGGCGGCTTCTTCTGCTGCGGCGGCTGACTGCGCGGCTTGCTCAGCTGCACGTCGCGCGAGACGGGCCTTTTGGCGATTTGGCTTTCTTGAGTTGGATGCTGAGGAAGGCTCTGGGGTGGATTCGGCTGTTGGTTCTGCTTCTTGTGGCTCCTCGGTGGGTTTATCTTGTTTTGAGTCTTCGTCATCTGCCGGTTGATCATCTTCCAGACTGAGATTTTCGAGGTCTTCAGTCGGGCCTCCATTTAATTGTGCAATTTCGGCCTGTTGTTTCTCGGACAGATCGCGCTGCATCCGCTCGCATTCATCGTTGATTCCTTTGCGAGTTTTCTTAGTGGCGGACTTTTTCTTTTGCGTAATCCGCCCTTGGAGGTCTTTTTGCTCTTTGCGGTGTTTTGACAGAAGGTCGTCCATTGTGAAATAACGAAGTGAAAACAAAACAAACTAGTCTATTGTAATGGGGGTATATGCTATGAACGAAAATAGCCTAAACACCTCGAGAAGAGACCCCGCGAAACCCTGACGATGTTGCCCTAAGTTGAGCCCAAAATAGGACTAGTGCATAACTCTCGGTACAAAGATATTCCAGGTCCGCGTGCCTCGGCTGGTTCATCAAGTCATCTCGGCCTCGGGTATGGAGTGTAACGGGGGGAACTACGAGGGAGAGATGTAACAAAAGTAGCCTCCTGTCTTTAATTCTTTTGGTGTATTAACTCTAAATCACAATTTCACAATGGATTCTACAAGTCTTTTCAACGTCAAGGTTAGATCTCTACGTACTCTACCTCTCCGACCATTCTAACCTGCCCGCAGGGCAAAGTGGTGCTAGTCACCGGTGGAGCCAAAGGCATCGGTCGCATGATCTCAGAGGGCTATGTAACAAACGGTGCCACTGTCTACATCTCATCCCGTGATGCAAAGGCATGCGAGCAAGCAGTCAAGGAGCTCAATGCCCTAGGCAAGGGCAAAGCCCACGCCATTCCGGCCAATTTCTACAAGCTCGAGGACGTGAAGAAGCTGGCCGAGGAGCTGGGCAAGCGCGAAGGCAGTAAGATACCCCATCCAATGGACAACTATATCATTTCTAACAACATACCTCTTTCTTCTAGAGCTCCACGTCCTCGTCAACAACTCTGGCTCGAACTGGGGTGCCCCCTACGATGAATACCCCTCCGAGGCCTTCACTCGAGTCCTTACCCTCAACCTCCACCGTGTCTTCGACCTGACCCAGCTCGTTACACCGCTCCTGGAGAAGGCGGCTACACCGGAGGACCCTTCTCGCATTATCAACATTGGCAGCATTGATGGACTCCGTGTTCCCTCGCTCGAGACATTCGCATACAGTTCCAGCAAGGCTGGTTTGCACCACTTGAGCCGGGTGCTCGCCAACCACCTGGGCAAGCGAAACATTACGTAAGTATATATATAGACTCTGTTTTGCTTCTCTTTGTGTTTGTGTATGGAGGACTGATTCGGTTTGCAGCTCTAATACCTTGGCCTGTGGTCCTTTCGAAAGTAAGATGATGGCCGCTACCTTGGAGTCATTCGGTGACACTATCAGGGCTGGTGTGCCTCTGGGTCGCATTGGAACCCCGCAGGATGTGGCTGGGTCCTGCTTGTTCTTGAGTAGCCGCGCCGGTGCATTTGTGAACGGCGCCACTATTACGCTCGACGGCGGAAGTGCTGTCTCTGCCAAGCTGTGAGAAATTTTATGAACGCTGCTTTGGATATAGTATAGTCTGTAAATAGCTGTGTTAGCACAAGCATTCTTGATGTTCTTTTGTTAGATGAGAATTTAAACGTATACTCCGCGCTGAGATTCGGAACAGAATCCCCAACATTCCAATGAATGGCTGGTTACCATATCCGTCCAAGCCACAACAGTCTTGATTTTGAGTCATTGCTTTTAGTAAAGATTGACACTGATTATATTTGCTTTTTATACATCGCACCTCCGGGCCTCGCCTTCGAATTGTTTCCAAAGTTGTTATCGAAAGGCTTATCAGCTCTGGAGCGGCAACATAAGTGGAGCGGCGACATCATCAATTTGAATGCCGTCATTCCCTTTCCACATCTCTGCCAGGTTCATAACATATTTTTGTATCGTGTTTCTCTATCACTATCATCTCTCATCCATTTTACAGCTTCAAACACACCCCTTGAGTCTGAGACTGTCCTAATCGCCAGATAAGGATCCTCTGACTTTTCTGATCAGATCGTACCATTGGAGTACAATTTTCTAGGTCGTCATACTATATCAGGCCCATTGGAGCGCCTGTACTTGCTGCTTTAAGTTTATCGACTACCGGGAATAGTCGGTGTGGACGCATCCTTGCGTAACGCACATTTGAATTTCAAATTGTGCCCTCTATCCATCTTCCGCCACACAGACCATGAGCTCGTCAGATGGGCGTACCCGGTCTGGTTCCAGCTCTACTGATCCTTTTTCCAATCCAGATGTCTACTATGGCAAGGAGGATAATATCAATAAGTTCAAGGCGAGAAGACGTGCATTCTCGGTGGTAAGTAGCCATAACACCTGACCGGTACCCCGCGGTAGAAGGTACATCAAGCTTATCTTTGACTGGGTACAGGGTTTGAGCGACTACAGCCGCGAAGACATCAATCAATTCTTTGGAACCCTACCTTCTCGACGCGGTAGTCACGGTATGCTTGTTATAAATATGTCGGATATGCGGTTAGTGCAAGAGCTGACAGCAGTGGACAGATGAGGCATCAGGACAACCTCGGAAGTTCCTTATTGAGGTGGACGAGACACTCGCGGCTCTCTTGAAACAGGAAGATACGGATCAGAATATGCAGATCACCATCGAAGACTTGGGACCTAAGGTATGCTTGATGGTGTCTAACACCGAGGATGACTGCTAATCGTTGTAGGTGATGTCGGTCGGGACTGCAGCATCATCTGGACATAAACGAGTTGATGTGCGGGGCACATACATGCTATCCAACCTCCTCCAAGAGCTTACAATTGCCAAAGACTACGGTCGCAAGCACATTATCCTTGATGAAGCACGACTGAGCGAAAATCCAGTGGCGCGGCTCTCTCGTCTCATCAAAAACTCCTTTTGGAATGCCCTCACAAGACGTATCGATGGCTCCAACATTGAAGTGGCAGGTCGAGACCCCAAGGATTGGACTGCAGATCCACGACCTCGGATCTATGTCCCGCCGGGTGCTCCAACGCAGTTCGAATACTATGAAAAGATTGCGAAAGATCACCCCGAGCTGCGTCTTGATGTGCAGATGC